ATTTGGCTGCTGTACATTTCCACACGATAAGCCACTTCGTTGGGCTATCGTTTGTGATAGCTAAGTCACTTCTGAAAAAGAGCTACGTAGCTCAGTGGGGCACTGCCTGGTAAGGTAAAAATTGGAGGTGGGGGCTTGTGCATCAGATCTTATTTATTCACGATGTACTTACAAAAAAATCAGCAGACTACCTGCTGGATCTCCTCACCGTTTCGAAGAACAAATGTGACCTAAGGTCTTCGCTCATTTACCAGCATCACATTCCTTATTGCCGTACAAATAATGGAGGAAGGGCCTTTGCTATTGATGCCCCGAGGGTCTGGAATGCTAGTGCCAATAAACTAACTGAGATCTTCACTCAAAACTGCTCTAGAGGAGTTGTACACCCCTAGCTGCGACTGCTCTTCAGTGGCCTGAAATCAAATGTATCGCTCCAGATGACCGCTGCAAAGTATGATCTTGAGTTTTTATTATAGTGTGCTGATCTTTAAAGGTGCATTGAATTTTTTTAAATAATCCTACTGATACTCCGGCTGTTATGGAGTGACTCATGCTGCCAGCGATGATTGCAAAGTTTGGTCGTACATGTTATGTATATCGTTTATTGTTAAATTTGAATCAAAGTTCCTATGATACCTGTTACATTGTTTTATAGCTTTATTTTGGTTATTTCGAAAACTATTTTATTTAGCCATATTTGTTTGTTATAGTACAGAGTTAGACTGATGACTTTAATCTAAATTGTCTAATGGTTGTTATTGTTTGACTTGCATTCCACTGAGATTTTTGCACACAGCGTTGATATACGGTGCTTTTTCTGGAAGACTTTGCTGTTTTTTCATAAAATTTTCTGTTGCGCCTAGTCACTTTAACATGTTTCTTGTTCATGTTTTTGTTTGTTGCGGTTGCACCCGATTCAAGAGCTGCATGGCTCACAGGGCTATACCTACTAAATGAACTAAACTGAAATGAACTGAATGAAAGGGGCAAGGGACCACGGTCACAGAAATAATGCAAGAAGGCTTGCTGGCAAGGAATGTGGGAAAAGGGGGCGTGGGGGATTGGGGGAAAAACCTGAAAAAATTGGGGTGGGAGACAAAGTGAGGTGTTCCAGGGATAGAAATGTTGTGGTTGTCAACAACAGCGGTCGAACTTCCTCGTGTTGGTGTCGTTGGGACAATAAAGTTCACTTACCGGGACGCCTTGTGTGGCCTTGCTTTCAAATCTATCCAGAATTCGTTTTTTTTTACAAAGCATTATTTAATTTGGATTTGACGCTTTCGTGACTGCAGGAATCCATACTCCTTGGTTCTTTCGGTAAAGTCACGTAGGTAGAAAAATACAAAAAATATATCACGATGTTTCGATCGCAACACAAGCGGTCGTCCTCAGGTACCTGTACCTGACACCATAGCAATCATTGAAGACTTGGTCCAACAGGGACTGAATCCTGATGTACCAACTTTGGTGAGGCACTGCCTTACCAACACTTACTTCATCTGGAATGGTACATTCTACAAATAAAATGAAGGTACCCCTATGGGTTCTCCCTAATCACCAGTGGTAGCGAATGTTTTTATGCAGAAATTTGAAACAGATGCCATCCTGACATCCACCGTCCTTCCCTGTGGAAGAGATATGTAGATGACACTTTCGTCATCTGGCCACATGGCCAGCTAGCACTGAACCAATTTTTCAACCACATCAATTCCATACACCCATCCATTAAATTCACCATGGAAGTGGAAAATGATGGCAAGCAACCATTCGTGGATGTTTTGATCGAGAAGAGGCCTGATGGCTCGTTTGGACATTTAGTCTACAGGAAAGCCACCCACACAGATTCCTATCTAAATCCTGATTCCCACCACCATCCGGCCCAGAAGAACTCCCTCATCAAAACACTACAACAAAGCACCCAATGCATCTCCGACCAGCGCCACTTAGCCAGTGAACTGGACCACGTACACCAAGCCCTCAAGATGAATGGCTACTCAGACCGCACAATCCACAAAGCTTTATCCCCAACCATGGGGAGACAACCATCTGAGGAACCAATCAAAACCATCACCTTGCCATACATAGCAGGTGTTACCAAAATATTTCCAAAATCTTAAACAAACACAAGATCCAGGTCCGATTCAATACAGTATACAAAATCCGTGATCTGATCCCATTTGTGAAGGATGTCATTCCTGACATGCAATACCCTGATGTCTACAAAATAAGTTGTGTCTGCAGCAGCAGTTACATTGGGAAAATGAAACGACATGTCTCGGACCGTGTTTGCGAACACAAGGCAGATTTGAAACACGGCAGAACCAATACCTCTGCCGTGGATGATCATTGTTATAATGCAGTGGGCTCACACGATAGTTTTTTTCCGATACCAAGGTACTCTGCAAACCTTCAGGTGACCATAAAAGATTTGTTCATAAAGCCATCCAGATATATAAAACAGAGACAATTTCAACCGAGAAGATGGGTATAAGCTGAGCAATCATTGGAATGACGTTATTAACCAAGCAAAGTCGTAACTTGCTGTGGTGCTTCCATTCTTTCCTGCCGTTTGGCTGTTATCTCCGACTCTCTGAGTTGCATTGCCCTGTTGGGTGCCTCTGCATTCACGGGCTGGGGACTCACTAGCATGGCCACCTCTGCTCCCTTAGCCTCGATGTATCGATGGTTCTGGCTGTGTGATGGGCTGTGTGTCTCACTGGCGAAACCATCGTTGTGGTGGTTTTCTTTTGCGCTGACGCGTTTGCCTCTCACAGCGCAGTTGGCAGCGCCGCAGCTTGTGTTACACATAGACATGACATTAACTTTCTAATCCCCCTAATCTCTCTTCCCAATCTCTCCCACCAAGATAGTGCTAATCTTCCATTAACACTGCTGTTGTGCGCATATGCGGGATGATTCTCTTATGTGGCGACGGAAGCTCATTTCATGCTAATCTCTCTGCCTAATCTTTCTCTCCCTAATCTCCCCCATTAACACAACTGACGTACTTGCGTGCGGGGATGGAATTCCTTTTCAGCTCAGACCCCGCCTGCTTGCCCTTCGCCACATATATAACCTCTTTTGTAACAGCTCTCTCGCTGTATTCTTCCTGGTTCAGCAGTTCCACTGCTGGATTATTTTTTCCGCCTGAGGACGTCCGCTTGTGTTGCAATCGAAACGTCGTGATATATATTTGTTTGTATTTTTCTACCTACGTGACTTTACTGAAAGAACCAAAGATAATTATTTAATTGGTATAACTCCAGTTATCATTGTTGTGAACTTTAAGAAAAATGTTACCAACAACGAAAATTACGATATGATGACATTTTGCACAATGCGCTAGATTACCAGGATCTGATATCATTTATTTATCACAGTACTGTATTGCACATGTCACAGTCTATGTGCCAGCATATGATTCAGAGCATACAGTATGTGTGACAGTGGGAGAGCAGTGGTGCAGTGGTTAGCGCACTGGACTACGAACACGGCGACCCTAGTTCGATTCCCGCTCACGACCAGTAACAGTGGCAAATAAATAAGCTCTAGGTCGAATTATCCTTAAATTCCTACCTGGTGCGGTATGTAAACATCAGCACTGGGGAAACAAATGCGGTTTAGCGTGGTGCTGGCCACCCAAATCCTCGTGTGCCGTGCCAGCCTTCAGAGGTGCTAATGAACAGCACTTGCCCCAACAAGTATGTTAAGGCTACATGGGGGACCTTTGTCTTTGTGTCACATTGACCCGAGGGCCCTGGCAGAGCCGTGGTGCCGTGGTCCTGCGCAAATTTACTTTGGGACGACGCCTTGTGATTGGCCAATCAATTATCAAGGGGCGTGTTGGGTGACTGACCTCTTGGGATGAGTGAAGCAAAGGTCCACTGCCAACTCGGATGAAGCAGAGATGGTGGAGCCGAGAAGATGCGGCGAATGGACAACGTCTTTGGAGCAGTCGGTGGGTGGGTGAGCTCACCCCCCCTGCCCCAACATGATCAACACCTGTTTATTATCCGTTTCTGTCAGGTGATCCTCGCAGACTGGTGAATTGAGCAAAGTTGCCATCCTGTATGTATGTTGAACTTCTTTCGCGACGAGGTGTGGAGGGAAGGACAACAACCTAAAACACAAAAAGCAGTTCTAAAGAAATGAGTTTTCAGTCAAGATGATTTAAAAGTGCGTAGCTCCAGTTACTTCCTAATATCGGAAGAAAGAGCGTTCCAGACGGACCGCAGAAGTGCATCTGAATACGCGCGATACAGTGACCATCTCTGTTCGTGGAGGGTTTATTTCGTCTCCAGTCTTGCCGCCGTTTCTTGCTTGCCTACTTTAGTCTATTCTTGCGCATGATGGCAGCACCATGTCCAGGAGCTAAAATGTCCAATGTTCTGATAGCCACCGCAAGAAGGCTTCAGGAGAGAGCGAGAGAGTTTGGGTCGTTTTTCTACTCCTCTGTTGAAGGTATGCAAGACTACAGTGGTTCTCAATACGGTCCATGGTTTTGGTAGCATACCCACAATCTGCACTCCTGTTGCTTGCTTGTCTTTCATTTCCCATTCATGGAGGAGATGTGCACATCGGTCTACTGACGTGCTGATGCGGTTGATCGTTACACCAGTGTCTTCAAGGAGGAATGTCAAAGCCAGGGGGAGTGCGAAATTTGAGTCTTGAGTGAGGCGTATGTTCTGGGTGTCCACGTTGTTCCACGAGAAAAGCTGTAAGGATGCAACGTGAAAGGGCAATATTTCCATGATGATCATATTTTGGGTTAGGTATTTTAGCTCACTTCAAGGATGGTGTGGGCACCAATCCATTGCCCTTCTGGAAAAACCGTAAAGCTTATTGGTGTTGGCTTCTGGCCTGCGTTATGCCTCTTGCACAGCAGAAGGTCTCGGGCCATGAGTCTCATTGGAATTCTGCAAGCTGTCCGTGGTCACCTGTAGCGTCATGGTGTCTGATGGCCGTGTTTCGAGGTTGAGCAATGCTATAGTGTCCCGAGTTTTCAGGATGAGAGCTGAGTGTGCAATCATCTTTGGGTGGTGTTCCCAAAACACAAAGAAAGTGGGAATAAAAAAAAACTAGTGATGAAAGGAAACACATGAAGGATTTTTTTAAATAAACACTGAAGATCATAAGCCTGAACACATAAAAAGGAGTATACCTCAAAGTAAAATTTTTAAACCTGAAAACAATCTTAACCAATCCTCATCATCATCATTCGTCATGATCAATCCGTTAATGAATGAAGGCTGCACCAAGCCACTTCCATCTCCCGCAATCCGGTGATGTAACATTTCGCCCAACACCTGCACATGATCTGATTTCATCACTCCATCTCCTCGGTTGAGTTATCTTTTTAACTTGCTTGTGTTCTCTAATCCATGTGTTCCTCTTTCCCTCTCAGTGTAATTCCAAGCATTCTTCTATTCATGTTTCTTTGCACTGATAGTCGTTGTTCCATTTCCTTTGCTAATGTTCGTGTTTCCGATCCAGCAGGTACTATGCACTGATTAGTTTAATTTTTTATGTTGCTTTTCACGATCAAGTTCAGCTTGCCAAAAGCACTCCCGTCCCCTCTTGTTTGTGTCCTTGCATCATTTTTATTCTGATCTGATTTTAATATCTGTCCTAGTTATGCATATGCTGTTATTTTTTTCTAATAGTGTCCCTCTGACAGATATTTTCAAGTGTTTCGTGAACTTTATCCTAAACCTACATGTGCAGCCTCTCTATTAAGGCCTTCTAACATATCCCCGCAGTTTCATCAAGTGACCATGTCCAGTGCTCGAGACTAATGATGGAGTGGCAGCCCGATGAGTGAATACACCCTGGTGAAGATGCCCACAATGGAGATGGAGAGATGACATCAGCTGTATGGATTTGTGCTTGGGGAGGCCTGTATCCAGCAGTGTATTGATAGTAGATGATGATGATGATCTTGTCTGACTCCTCTTCTGAATTGTATTTTGAAAAGGCCTTTATGCAATCTGTCGCTGTTAATAAAGATTTTGAAAGTCGCAGTTCGACTTTATTAATGGTTTTGGTGATTTATATAAAATTCCTTTAAGGCATTGGCTTTGAGAGCCTTGGATGAATGCACCAATTTTCACTGAATCAAATGCCCCTCCACATTCTAAAAAGCAGGGAAAATTGTATTTAAATTTTAGTTTTTATCATCTGATTGAGAGTACAATAATAGACACACTTTTGTCAATCAATCCTGGGCTCACGATTGGTTGACCTCTAAATTGTCTATTACTCAATCCAGTTCCTAATTATCTCAGTAATCTTCGTGAGTTGTTATCGTAATATATTCCTTCAAGAATAACAATGTTCTTCGACTTGCGTGATATCTGGCAGTGACGTTAAGTCTAAAAAGGTCCACAGTGGATTACGTTTTTTGGAGCAAGGTTTGTAGATCCCCACGCACGTTCTTCAGGCTTTCCATAATGCATTAACAAAATATACTGAAGTAGAAAAAAAATTATTTGTGGTTCACCCTTTGTTGTTATCCACTACACTCACAAATTATACACCGCGTTTTGTTATGATTCACACAACATGTTATTTACAAATAAGTCTACTCAAGCTGAATTTCAGTTGCTTTGGTGAGGTTTTGGTTTCTTTGATCGTGTCCTTTTATACTTACTTCACTTACTTCAGAGGTATACTTTCTGATAAAAGGACATCGAATAAGTATGTTGTGAATCTTCTTCTGTATTGAGGAACGACCGAAGATAATTATAAACGGACTGAATGAGTAGTATAGTGAAGAAAATACTGATGCGATGTCTGCCATCGGGATGGCTGATAGAGATGCACCGAAACGCATGAGCAATATTCGTATAATAATATTGATACTCCAGCAAATTATGTAAGTGATGAGCAAGCATGCGACAATTTTCACAGCGTTAAGGGTGGCCATGTGGTTGGCGTTGTGAACCCACCCTCTGGCTGCAACCATTTCATGGTGTTTCCAAAGTATCTTCAAAATAAGCACGTTCATGGTCACGATGGCAAATGCGCCAAAGCCATCCACCAATATTATTGTTCCTATGCCGAAGTATAAGTGGTAACCTCCTGATGGACTAATAGAACAGGAGGAAAACTGCAGCAATCCGGAGCTATTATTCAAGGTTAATATGTCATCGAAAAAAAGTAACGGAGTGAAAATTGCAGAGCTTATTATCCATAACAACACGCTGACGAGACATATACTTTTTTCAAACTTGAGGCTAATAACATTGATACCTGGATACGTTGAGTTTTGCAACTTATTAAATTGAAAGAGGCTCAGTAACAAAGTAAAGCTGATGCTCAGAGTTCGGAAGAGGTTTATGCTATACAAGAGCAACCGGCATCCGATGTTGTTCAAAAGATGCATCTTGAAGAAGTCGAAAACGTACAGAATGTTTTTAAATACAGAGGCGAGCAAGTGAACGATAGACATGTTGATGACGCTCCTGTCGGATGGGAGCAGTTCCCCATTCTTCACTGCGATGTGAAGAAATACGGTCAAAACGCACGTGTTTCCAATGGTGCCAAGTAATATTAAAATAATTAGCACGCTAACTATTGCGAGATTCTCCATTTTCGTGTCTAAAAGATTCAACGGGTAGCGAAACGGAGGAGGTGTAAAATAGTACAGAAGCACTGCCGCTCAGACGCGTTCAAGGCTTTTTGTAGTGCCTCGAGAGAGGCCGATTTAATAAGACATATTATCCTAAAAAAACATGCATTCATAATTTCCCTCCACACAGCAGTCCCCTCCAAAAACACGAACAAGAATAAACAATGTTTTGTTGGGTAGCTTTGACAATTTCCGATTTGGCCGGTTCAGTACACAATCCACAATTGCTTGCAATATCCACACATGCAATATGATAATAATAATTCGTTTAACACGTAGGCTTTCGCGACCAATCGTATTCATAATAATGATTTTTGGGGGGTTAGATCGCGGAAGTATAAATGTGTCGTACCTCTCCACTACCCGACAGCCAGTAAGGTTTGTCACGTAAACAAAACGCTCCAATTTGTAATTACTTCAGCCCACGGGTGTGTTGGAGAGTATATCTACATTTACAATATGAGAACGACGTTTCACTGGTAATTACATCTCGCAAATCGCCCGATGATGCTTTATGTAATTATCAGCGGAACGTATTCCAAATTGGAAATGTTGTGAATTTACTCTCCAACACATAGGTGGGCTGAAGTAATAGCTAATTGGCGCTTTGTTTAAGAGACAAACCTTACTGGCCGGTGGTGGAGGGTTACAATACATTTATATTTACGCGATCTAACCCAAAAGCCTTAATTATGAACTAGCTTTATTACCGGGCTTCGCCCTCGTCACTTGGATTCACCACGCCCGGCCGCCTTTGTCTCCCCAGTGGCGATGTTCACACACCACACCCGTTACTCGTTTGAGGCTGAGTCCACCTAGGGGAGGCCCAGGATCTGTTCAAATAATCGTCACCGGTGGTGGCCGTGAGTGGGAATCGAACTCTTGTCGCCGGGTACGTAGCGCAGCGCGCTAACCACTACACTACCGCTCCCCCACACCCACAAACGCGCGCGCATCCATAGGTACACATACACGCGCTTGCTGCACACACACGCAACTTTCAAGGTGCGTACGGCAGTAAACGACTCAAATAATAAACCAATGCTACGCAAAGAACGCCTTAGACCTGCAACGCATTTGTATGGCACTTTACTCGCGGAGGGTTGGGGGAGGGGGGATGCGTGACATCAGCAGGCACACTGCGTAATGCTTCCGCATGCGGGTGACATCATTTGTCGCTGGTGACAGCAAGCAGCTTGGTCGAGACATTGTGCCCGAGGCTTTGGAGGTGCTCAAACAGAGCGGTGCCAATGCGCTTGCTGACACCCCTTCCGGACTGCAGACCGAGGACCGTCAGCAGCATGGATTTTGACGCACCAGATTTGATGTCGACCCAGTGCACCGTAACCATCCAAAATACCTTCAGGTTGTGATTCGACCACCCATCGATGGTGAACGAGATGGTAACGTCCAGGTTGGAGAAGAACGGCCGAACGATGGGCAGCATGATGGCGTGAAGCTCGACAATCCTGCGAATGACGGTGCGGGCCGACAGGCCCTCGTATCCCTGTGTCAATGTGTGGACCGATGTCTTGAACTTGTCGCTGCCAGCGGCTTGCAAAGAGATTGCACCTTGGATAACAAAATCAACCACTGTGTTCTCAAATTTTGCCAGGAGGCGATCCGGGATTGCTGGCCGGCTTAGCGTTTGCTGTATTAGGAGGCTCGCTGAAGCCGACGTCCCGACCTCGCTGCCTGGGGCAAGCATGTTGTGCTTCTTGAGGTGGGCTTTCCACCCCGACACGTTAGTGTGGGAGGAAAACCACTTGTGGCAGTGCACGCACTGCCGCTTTCCTTGCTGCACACGGAGATCACCCTCCATCCAATCGTGCATGTGCTCCCACGGGAACGCATGACTGCCTCTTTCGATTGCTGTTCGCAGTGACCCCGGAAATGCCATTGCTGGCATCCTCGACCTCATCCTCTACCTCAAAAACGTGGTCTGTCTCCATCTGATCCGACATCAATGATTCCAATTTCAAATGGAGGCCACAGACTGCGCCACGGAGCTATTAGGGAGCGGTAAACAGGGTATTTACCGGGTAATACTTCGCGCAACCTTTACCGTACGGGGTAATTCTTCCACGCTACCTTTATCCTACCCTTTACCTTACTCCTTGGCATAGTCGACACTTTTACCCTTTACTTTTACCCTTTTACCCGCTTAAAAGGGTAAATTACCTTACCTTTCCGAGGCCTACATATGTAAGAAGAACCTTTCAAATGTAGCAGGTCGTGTTGACATCTCGCTTGTGCCACTCAGCGAAAGCAGCCAGCGAACCTGCTTACAACTGCTGTCCACTCGAGGTTATTTTGTGTTATGTTTCTATCATTCTGCGTTGAACTATGACCCATATCTTGAAGAGGGGGGTCCTTTGTCGAAAACGTATGGCAGTAAACAAGCATTGTTCAAGTAAGTATGACGAAGTATGTCGAAACCGGTCCAGAGTTTTCTTCCACTGAATCAGTGCTGCTACAATTATGCCTTCCCAGAAGGCCGTTGTACCTTTTGAGTTGTGTAAGAAATATGTACAGTGAGGGAAAAAATATTTGATCCCCTGCTGATTGTGTACGTTTGCCCACTGACAAATAAATGATCAGTCTATAATTTTAATGGTAGGTATATATGAACAGTGAGAGACAGAATGACAACAACAAAAATCCAGAAAAACGCATGTCAAAAATGTTATAAATTGATTTGCATTTTAATGAGAGAAATAAGTCTTTGACCCCTCTGCAAAACATGACTTAATACATGGTGGCAAAAACCGTTGTTGGCAATCACAGAGGTCAGACGTTTCTTTTAGTTGGCCAGCAGGTTTGCACACATCTCAGGAGGGACTTTGTCCCACTCCTCTTTGCAGATCTTCTCGAAGTCATTAAGGTTTCGAGGCTGACGTTTGGCAACTCGAACCTTCAGCTCCCTCCACAGATTTTCTATGGTATTAAGGTCTGGAGACTGGCTAGGCCACTCCAGGACCTTTGTTGTCTTGGCCATGTGTTTTGGGTCATTGTCATGCTGGAATACCCATCCACGACCCATTTTCAATGCCCTGGCTGAGGGAAGGAGGTTCTCACCCAAGATTTGACGGTACATGGCCCCATCCATCGTCCCTTTGATGCGGTGAAGTTGTCCTGTCCCCTTAGCAGAAAAACACCCCCAAAGCATAATGTTTCCACCTCCATGTTTGACGGTGGGGATGGTGTTCTTGGGGTCATAGGCAGCATTCCTCCTCCTCCAAACACGGCGAGTTAAGTTGATGCCAAAGAGCTCCATTTTGGCCTCATCTGACCACAACACTTTCACCCAGTTGTCCTCTGAATCATTCAGATGTAAATTGGCAAACTTCAGACGGGCATGTATATGTGCTTTCTTGAGCAGGGGGACCTTGCGGGCGCTGCAGGATTTCAGTCCTTCACGGCGTAGTGTGTTACCAATTGTTTTCTTGGTCCCAGCTGCCTTGAGATCATTGACAAGATCCTCTCGTGTAGTTCTGGGCTGATTCCTCACCGTTCTCATGATCATTGCAACTCCACGAGGTGAGATCTTGCATGGAGCCCCAGGCCGAGGGAGATTGTCGGGAAGGCTGCCCCCCGTCTCCCCATTCACCTGTGACCCACCGCTTTCCGACTCTCCCCCCCTCGCTGCTGCCCCTCGTGGCATGATTTAAATGGCTGTACGAACCACCTTGTGAAAACGCCGCTGTGCCCCTCTCGTGCACGCTAAACACGAGCTGCGCAGTGGCGAGAGCACCCACGTGGGTAGAATACACGCTCGTGCGAAAACACCGGACACCACAACGCGCAGGCTCAACACTTTGCACCCCTCTCCGTATTCGCAGAGACAACACAACAAGGTTTAATGTCTACTGGTGATTTATTCTCCGTTTAATGAAGATAATCTACCCGTATCAGTGTGGGTCAGCAGGGCAGGTCTAACCTATCTCCCGGCGGTCTAGGATCCAATTTGCCTGGTCTCTCCCTACTCACTCTCCTTAACGGATATTCCCCCTTGGCCTTACCTCTCTCCTCCGTACTTACGATCCGATCTCGAGGTGTAGGAAGTCGCGGAAAGGTGAGGCTGCACGTGGCTTTTGCTGGGAACTGGACCTGGCTGCTCTGCGACCCGTCTCACGGACGTTCGAGTAGCAAGGGACGATGACTCCTCGGCCCCTCACTCCAGAAGACCCCGGGCAAAAGAGAGCTTGCTCCCTGATCTCTATCCCTTTTTATCCACCTACATCAAAGCCAACGCGCCGCTAACCCACTGGCCTCTCGTCCAACCCGGAGTCTCGGATTTCCTGCTCTTGGCCAATCGGATTAGTCCCCTCTCCGACGCCCACCCTCCATAGTTTAACCAAGTGCACGGCCGAGGGAACCTCCACCACTATCGCCCCAACACACGTGGTGCCAGGGCGAGGTCCCTGTACACATGGTGCGGAGACGAGGGCCCCCCCTTGTCTTCATGTCGCTCGCTACTCTGCCCCACCCCCCTACCCACCTGCTGACCCGTGTCGAGTGTGGATGCTTTCTACCCGTGGTGGCTTCAGCAGCCCCCGTCGTGACCATGTAATTACTACTCAGGTCATGGTGCCGCGGTGCACGCCAGCCTCGGGAAAGGTCGCTCAATTCCCTGGTCGCAGGAAACCGTGAAGTTTTCGTCCCATAAGGGGGCTTCTGGGTGAAAACCTGCTGACCGGGTGACCTCCCCTCGGGGCTCTATGTGGGTGTGTGTGTGTGTGTTCATGTGGTGGGTGGTGGGGGAAGCGCTGTGACGGAAGCCGGGTGGCTTCGTTGCTGCAGCCCCCCGCCGCAGGTACGGCTCCCACGGAGTGGCTTCGCTGCCGTGGCACCACATAGCCCCCCGAGGTGCCAGTCCCCGTCCCGGGTTGACTGGAGCACCTCGCCTGGGTTGCCCCCATGAGGTAGCGCCGCGGGGTCCGCGGGACTCGCCTGGCCCTCGTGGCCGGCCTCGGCGGTGGTGGCTCCGTCTCTTGGGATTCCGGCGGCAGTCTCCTCCTCCACTCCAACGGTTCTCCTCGGCCCTCGGCACCTGCGGGCTGGGAGACGAACTCAGAGGCAGCAGGGTTTAAGGGCTGTCGTCCCCGTCCCCCCCCGGCCCGGGCCGTTACCCTTCGGGGCCCGGGGCCCCATGGGGTCCATATACCGTGTGAGGCCCCCGAGTATGAGGGGTGTGGGGATCCCGGGATTTCGGGGGTACTCGAACGGCGGGGTTCCCCCTCGCTGGAGCTGTCTTCCATGGTTTAAGTCGGCGGACGTTTACCACCATCTCCCGGCCCTTCTCTCCTCCCTGAATCAGCACCATCCAGGGGGAGATCTGCCGTCCCACGGTCCAGGGTCCCCGCCAGTAGGTGGTCAGTTTCCCTACCTGTCCGGCCCCGACGCGAGGAGTGTGAAGCCACACCATAGAGCCCACCGAGTAGAACGGGGGCTCCATACGGGGTCGGGCGCCCTGCTCTTGCCGCCTGTGCGCGCCTCTCCTTGCGGGTAGGCCCGGCCCGGGCCCCTCGCAGAGTCTCCATCAGGTGGCTCCCGTCCTCCCGTTGCGGTGGGGGGACACCGAACAGCAAATCTGCGGGTAGACGAAACTCATGGCCAAACATCATTAGGAACAGGGTCTGTCCCGTAGACGTGTGTACCGTGGTGGTGTAGGCGAACAGGGTGTAGGGGAGGTGTTCGTCCCAGTCTTGCTGATTTGCGGCCACCATGCATTTGAGCTTCCCGGCTAGGGTCTGGTTCATCCGCTCCACCATACCGTTCGCCTGGGGGTGGTATGCCGTGGTTCGGTCCTTCTGGATTCCGAACTCGTGGCACAGTGCCTGAAACAGCTGAGCCTCGAACTCACTACCTTGGTCGGTAATGACCCGTTTGGGGATCCCGTGTTTAAGTACATAGTGCTCCACGAACGCTCGGGATACCACGAGGGCCGTTTTATCGGGGATGGCCACCGCCACGGGATAGCGTGTGAAGTACTCTACCGATACGAGAATATATCGGTTGCCCCGGTGGGATCGCGGGAATGGCCCTTGCAGGTCGATCCCAACCAGCTGGTTCGTTCGACTGACGCGAAACGGTCTCAGGGGTACCTGATATTGTGCCGGTTTCGGCCCGCATTGCTGACACGCGCAGCAGCCCTTTACCCAGGCGGCCACATCTTGTGCTAATTTGGGCCAGAGATACTAGCGACGCAGGGTCTGCCGAGTGCGCCGTTCCCCGTAATGGCCCCCGAGCGGGTGGTCGTGCACCAGCCTCAGCAGCTGGGGTCGCACCTGGGCGGGAACACAGATGCACCCCGGCTGGCCGGCTTCAGTTAGCTCTCGTACTACTCCGTTCCGCACGCACAACCGGGTATACAAACCACTCCAGGGTCCTGGTAGTGCGCTCGTCTTCTCTCTTAGGGCCGCTGCCACCGCCGCCAGGTCCGGGTCCCGCTGCTGGGTCTTTCTCAGCTGCTCGTCGTCCAGGCCCGGGAAGGCACAGCCGACGTCCCCTTGGATCCGCCCAGTAAGGGTGGGGTGGTCCGTCGGGTCCCCTGATCCTTCTGCAGTGGTCTAGGCGGCGCATACCGCACTCTCTCTCGGGGGAGGGGGTTTTAGTTTCAGCGCGCTCCCAGGGGTCGCTGCCTGTCGGCAACGTCCCCCCATGAAGCACGGGCAGGCATCTTCCGCCCTCGTCTCGGCGCACACCTCGGGCCGCCTCGACAAGTCGTCTGCGTTTGCGTGCGTCCGCCCCGCTCGGTACTCGATCTGCAGGTTGTACTCCTGCAACTGCGCCAGCCATCGGGCCATCTGCCCCCACAGTTCCTTGAATGTAAGGAGGAACTGCAGGGCATAATGGTCAGTGCATACCCAACATTTCCTGCCATACAAATACGGCCGGAACTGTTTACATGCGAAGATCACGACATACAGTTCTTGACGGGTAACGCAATAGTTCAGCTCAGCCCCGCTCAGGGTCTGACTGGTGTATGCTATGACCCGCTCCGTCCCACCCTGCACCTGTGACAGCACCGCGCCCAGCCCACTGCTGCAGGCGTCGGTATCCAAAATAAAATCAGTGGTGAAATCGGGGAAAGCCAGGGTGGGGGTGTGGGTGAGGTGGTCTTTGAGGGTGGTGAAGGCCGTTTGGCAGGCCTCCGCCCACTGATAGGGGTTCTTAGGGAAATGTGAGTTGGGTGAGGGGGCGTGCAATCTAGCTGAATCCCTTTACAAATCGACGAAAATAGGTGGCAAGCCCCAAGAATGACCTGATCTTCGTCAGGTTCCTTGGCCGTGGCCAATCCACTACGGCGCGTACCTTCTCCGGATCGTTGCGCATCCCTGCCTCGCTGACTCGGTGTCTGAGCTACCCCACCTCGCGCTGTGCAATGTGACACTTACGCGGTTTGAGCTTGAGATGGGCTGCCCGCAGTCGCTGGAATATCTCCCGTAGCCTGGGCCAGTGCTCAGACAGAGACCTACTGAACACTATCACGTCATCCAGGTAAATTAGGCACTGTTCCCACTGCAAGCCCCGCGTCACCAACTCTATCAACCACTGGAACGTCGCGGGTGCGTTAGTGAGTCCGAACGGAAGCACCCGAAACTCAAACAGTCCAATCGGGGTGGTAAATGCGGTTTTTGCCCGATCCTCCTCCGCCATCTCCACCTGCCAGTACCCGGATGCCAGATCGAGGGTGGAAAAATACCGCGCTCCTGCGAGGCTGTCAAAGGTGTCATCGATGCGTGGGATGGGGAAGGCGTCGCCGAGGGTGACTGCGTTCAACTTTCGGTAATCAACACAAAATTGGGTCGACCCATCCTTTTTCGTCACTAGTACCACCGGGGTAGACCAGGGGCTCGCTGAGGGCTGGATTATGTTATCGCGGAGCATATCCACGACTGCCTCTTTAATCTGGCCCCGTTCAGGTGCGCCCACTCGGTATGCGGGGATTTTAATGGGTCGGGCGACACCGGTGTCAATTTGGTGCTTCACAACGTCTGTCCGACCCACGTCCGAGTCGTGTTCACTGAACACGTCGGCGTACTCCCGCAGTAACCCGCGCAGCTGATCGGCCTCCCTCTTAGGTAAATCTGCCCAGGGTACGTGTAACGCGTCAAGCAGGGGGACGGCCTCGGCTCGGGGAGTCGGGCCGACTCGCCAGGCTAGGTCCTGGTTGTCCTCAGCCCAGAGTGCAAACACCGAGTCGTTAGAGCGGTGCATGTGCAGGGGGTGTATGGTGGCTACCCGGGTGCGTCGTCGCAGCATTGCCGGGGTAATGTGTGGGTTAAATACCCGCATAAACAGTCGGTCCCCGTCTGCGTTGACCAGCGTGGCTGATCCCACAACCCCGTACCGCGCCGCCAATTCCGGGTGAGGCGTTAGCATTACCTCGCCCGATGGTCGGTGTGTGGGGTCGGTGGAGGGTGTTGCCACTGGCACCAGCATCTCGGCGAGCAATCCGATGCTGACGGCCGACACCAGGGTAGCGGCCACAGGTGTGAAGCGAGGGCGATTCGGCTCCTATCCCAGGAACGGAATCCGCTCCCCACTGCCTTCCACCGTGGCGCATCGCTGGCGGGGCTGCACAGTGAGCCCCAGCTTCTCCAGGAGGTCTGTACCTGCGATACACTCATGGCACAACACACTCGAGACATAGAATTCCTGGGTGCACACCTGGTGTCCGAGACGGACCTCGAGGGAGACTCTTCCCAGCAACCCCATCCCGGCTCCACTTGCCATGTACAGCGCGCAATCCGGGGCCTGCAGGCGGCCCACGTCAACCTCGAGCACGCTGCATTGTGTGGCGCTCACGAGTGAGGCCACCGCCCCCGTGTCCAGTATAATCCGGGTACGCCGTCCGTTTACCTGTCCCTCCACCAGCGACGTTGCTCCCGTCATTCCCGCCACTAACTTCCATAGCCAGTCGCCCGGAGTCACCACGTTCTTAGGCGCTGTTGCCGGAATCCGTGTGGAAGTCACTCGCTCACCATTATTATCATCTTTCTGTATTGGGACCGCGTTGATTGCACCCCTAGTTGGTCCACTCTCTAGGGGGCATTGGAGTTTAACCCCGACACATGTCTAGCGCGGGCGACCTGAGGACAGTCCCTCATGAGGTGCCCTCGGCGGTTGCACAGGTAACATGCCTGGGGGGCAGCCCAGTAGGAGGTCCCCTACCCGTTCCTTCTCCTCTCCCCTATACGTGTCTGCCCAAGCTCTGCCTCCAATCTGGACACTCGTCCAGTTAGCCCCCCTACCATGGAGCACAGTTCTCCAATTTCGGACTGAATGGTCTCCACTGTAGACTGCAGTTTGGTCATGTTCCGGTTCACTTCCTCACGTATATTCCTTATGCCCGTCTATATCCCCGCTACCCATCCCAGGTTTGTCTTGCGGGGTCCCGGAGGCTCCCGTGCCTGACCCCTTACCGTATTGGCGAGCCCCTCCTTCTCCTCCTCCTCTGGGAGCAGGCTCGCGACGGCGCGCTCCCATCCCAGCCCCCGAAGCTGCACGTGTTCACTGGCAAGCTCCTCGCACTCAAGCGCGCGCTCGACGAGGGTATTAAATGGAGGCTTGCACTCCCACATTGGGCTGCCACCACGCGGTGCGGGGTAAATAACGGAGGATTTTGTCGGCGGCCAGCTCATCAATTACCTCTGTCGCGAACTCTGGACGGGCGATCAGTGTGAGCGATCGCACGTGTTCGGCATAATCACGAAAGTTATCGCCGGGTTGGCGGCGGCGCGCCTCTAAGGCCGTCTTTGCCTGTCTCACATTACGCGTGCCGAAGGGTAGGTCGAGTTGGTGCATAAACTCTTCTTGCTGGGTTTGGGTGCTTGCGGGTAGTGCCTCTACAAAATCATCTGCCCGCCTGTCTAGATTAATAGTAAGTTGTCATAACGCCTGCGCGTCCGTCCAACCATTAAGCTCTTTAGCCCCTATGATGTTGCGGGCAAACGCTTTCCATAAAGGGGTCCCCGTGCCTGTAAACACATACCTTATTTTCGCGTGGAGTACTGCGTCTCTCTCCCGTGGGGATGTGGGGGTTCGTCCCGCTTCTGACGCCAAATTTTTGGGGAGGCTGACCCCCGTCTCCCCATTCACCTGTGACCCACCGCTCTCCGACTCTCCCCCCCCCTCGCTGCTGCCCCTCGTGGCATGATTTAAATGGCTGTACAAACCACCTTGTGAATACGCCGCTGTGCCCCTCTCGTACACGCTAACCATGAGATGCGCAGTGGCGAGAGCACCCACGTGGGTAGAATACACGCTCGTGCGAAAACACCAGACACCACAACGCGCAGGTTCAACACCATGCACCCCTCTCCGTATTCGCAGAGACAACACGACAAGGTTTAATGTCTACTGGCGATTTGTTCTACGCTTAATGAAGTTAATCTAACCGTATCAGTGTGGGTCAGCAGGGCAGGTTGGGTACTAGACCTGACGGTCTAGTACCCAATTCGCCTGGTCTCTCCCTACTCACTTTCCTTAACGGATATTCCCCCTTGGCCTTACCTCTCTCCTCCGTACTTACAATCTGATCTCGAGGTGTAGGAAAGGCGAGGCTGCACGTGGCTTTTGCTGGGAACTGGACCTGGCTGCTCTGCGACCCGTCTCACGGACGTTCGAGTAGCAGGGGACGATGACTCCTCAGCTCCTCACTCCAGAAGACCCCGAGCAAAAGAGAGCTTTCCCTGATCTCTATCCCCATTTTATCCCCCTACATCAAAGCCAACGCACCGCTAACCCGCTGGCCTCTCGTCCAACCCGGAGTCTCGGATTTCCTGCTCTTGGCCAATCGGATTAGTCCCCTCTCCGACGCCCGCCCTCCATTGTTTAACTAAGTGCACGGCTGAGGGATCCTCCACCACTACCACCCCAACACACGTGGTGCCAAGGCGATGTCCCTGTACACGTGGTGTGGAGACGAGGGCCCCCCCTTGCCTTCCTGTCGCTCGCTACTCTGCCCCACCCCTCTACCCACCTGCTGACCCGTGTCGAGTGTGGATGCTTTCTACCCGTGGTGGCTTCAGCAGCCCCCGTCGTGACCATGTAATTACTACTCAGGTCATGGTGCCGCGGTGCACGCCAGCCTTGGGGGAGGTCGCTCAATTCCCTGGTCGCAGGAAACCGTGAAGTTTTCGTCCCATAAGGGGGCTTCTGGGTGAAAACCTGCTGGCCAGGTGACCTCCCCTCGGGGCTCTATGTGGGGGTGTGTGTGTGTGTTCATGTGGGGGGTGGTGGGGGAAGCGCTGTGATGGAAGCCGGATGGCTTCATTGCTGCAGCCCCCCCGCCGCAGGTACGGCTCCCACAGAGTGGCTTCACTGGCGTGGCACCACAAGATTGACAGATCTTTTGTGTTTCTTCCATTTGCGAATAATCGCACCAACTGTTGTCACCTTCTCACCAAGCTGCTTGGCAATAGTCTTGTAGCCCATTCCAGCCTTGTGTAGGTCTACAATATTGTCCCTGACATTCTTGGAGAGCTCTTTGGTCTTGGCCATGGTGGAGAGTTTGGAATCTGAATGATTGATTGCTTCTGTGGACAGGTGTCTTTTATACAGGTAACGAGCTGAGATTAGGAGCACACTCTTAAAGGGAGTGCTCTTAATATCAGCTTGTTACCTGTATAAAAGACACCTGGGAGCCAGAAATCTTTCTGATTGAGAGGGGGTCAAATAATTATTTCCCTCATTAAAATGCAAATCAATTTATAACATTTTTGACTTAGCGTTTTCCTGGATTTGTTTGTTGTTATTCTGTCTCTCGCTGTTCAAATAAACCTACCATTCAAATTATAGACTGATCATTTCTTTGTCAGTGGGCAAACGTACAAAATAAGGACGGGATCAAATACTTTTTTCCCTCTGTATTTGTTTTTATGTGGAGAGATATATTAACGTATGGTCTGCTTGTCTATTTTGTCCACTAGAGGGAAGCACAATTCTGCCGACGCTGCACTCTGTTCACACACACACACGTCATGCTAACCCTATGTGCAATTAACGCCGCTATTTCAGCCTCCCCCTCCCCTGCCCCCTCTCGTGTAGGAAATCGCACCCCACCGTGCTACCACGAGGTTCTTTTTTTTTTCAAAAGCACTGGGGATGTTTTTACAAAGCGCAGCAGCTGCTAAAACACGTTTTTTATTTCATTACAATAGGCGAAAATAGTATATATATTTTTAAGAATCCCAGAATAATGATGAAATTTAAGACATGGGAATAAAATAAAATAAAGTTATGTTCAGTCCGCTTTACTTGAATGTATTTTATATTGATCGCTTATGGAAAGATTGTTGTTTTTTTTATGTTGAACCCAATCTGTTATG